AGCAGGAATTGGGCGTTCCAGGCCTGGGGTTCCCAGAGCTCCCAGCACTCCCTCCTCCCTGCCTTCTGCTACTGAGAACAGTACACTGGGTGCTGCGGTCGCCCTTTGATGTGACCCTGCTTGGCATTTCCCAGCCCTCCTGGAAGGCCACCCTTGCGTCTCCCCAGTGGCCTTCCTGCTGCGGCTGGATTCTGCTTTCTCTTATGGCTCCTCTTTCCCCGGCTCCCAGGTACATGTGCTCCTCCGTGCTGCAGAGAGCGCTGGCTGCCCCTCTGGTCTGGATCCTGCTGGCCCTCCTTGACGGGAAGTGCTTCATATGTGCCTTCAGCAGCTCCGTGGACCCTGAGAAGTTTCTGGATTTCGCCAACATGACCCCTAGCCAGGTGCAGCAATTCCTGGCCAAGGTGCCCTGCAAGGAGGATGAGCTGGTGAGGGACAGCCCTGCTCGAAAGGCCGTGTCTCGCTACCTGCGGTGCCTGTCCCAGGTAACCGGGGGTCCTCCTCCAGCCCTGGGCCCTCCCGAATGCCCTGCACTGGTTGGGGTGGGAGTGGAGCGATACAAATGATTTCTTGAGGATCCTCCCCTGTGCTGGGGACGCAGCTGAATAGGGAGTTTATGGGGAGCTCCAGAGTGTGGCCCACATGTGGGATAGTGGGGGGCTTCATCGCTGGCTTACCACAGCACAGAGACAGCACGGAGCCAGCCCGGCCCTTCCCCGGGATACCGCGTGGCGGGAGAGCTGGAGCTATACTGCTTGGCCTCGCCCCCACCCGGTGCGCACGCTTCTCCCAGCTACAAGAAAGAATGCTGAGTGCCGCTACCGAGCCCTCGCGTGTCGGTCCTTGTGTTCAGCATTTTATTTACATTGCTTCACTTCATTCTCGGGCCGACCATACGCGATGGAGGTAATCATTATCATTCCATTTTTCAGGTGAGGAAACTAAGGCTCTGAGTGTTTAGCTCACAAGGCCACAGTCACACAGCTTGTGAGAGGCAGGGAGGGATCTGAATCAGGGTATCATTACTCTTCTTTTCTTTTAGAGAGATTTTTGCTATAGGCACATGTGCTCACCAGAGAGACAGAAAATGAGAAATCACCCCTCAGCAGGATGGCCATGCCACAATCCCTCCCCTCCATTCTCCTCTTGGGATTTTGAGCACACAGGCACTAGCGCCCAGCGTGAGTTTGAAGCCACTGGTTCCAGGACTCGAACCGCAGTCAACTCCATAGGAGTCCAGCGACGTAACCATTATGCCATCTGCTGGTCCCTCATTACTCTTCTTAACCTCCTCCTGCCAGCACAGTATCTCCCCAGATGCCCGACTCTCCCAGGGCACCGGTTCCAAGATCCTGAGGGCAAACCCCAGTCCTGCCCCAGTCCAGATGCCAGATTCCACCACTACCCCTCCCAGAGCCCCAGTGCTAAGCCGTGTCCACCAGGAAGTATTCATATGGCCCCACCACACAGAGGACCAGCGGGGCTACAGATAAGAAATTCACAACCTCGCCGCTGGGGGCTGGGCTGGCTCACGGCACATGCAGGCCTGTGGCACAGCAGAGAGCAGGCTGGTGCTCAGGTCACGCTACGTGTGACCTCAACCATGGCGCTGCCCCTCTGGGCCTCGGTTTCTACTGCAAAATAAAGGGGGACTTCTGCCCTGGGCTTCAACATTCTGGGTTCTCTAAGTTCAGTGGGAAGAATGCAGATGCCACAGTCAGACCAGGGTTTGAATCCTGATCCAGCTGCGAGCTGTCAGTCACCAAGTGTAGTGCGGTGTTTGGTTTCTGCTATTAGTGTGTAAAATAGGCACCTTAAATTTAGCGAGGGGGACCAGCAGTTAGTGTAATGGCTCTGTCACTGGACTCCCACGTAGTCGACTGCGGTTTGCGTCCCGGACCCAGCGGCTTAAACTCCCACTGGGTGCGTGCGTGTGCGTGCCCAAGATCCCGAGAGGAGAATGGAGGAGAAGGGATTGTGGCGTGGCCATCCCCTCTGGGGGGTGATTTCTCGCTTTCTGTCTCTCTGTCTCTCTCTGTCTGTCTGGTGAGCACACGCGCCCTATAGCAAAAAACTCTCACAAAAAAAAAAAAAAAAAACCTTAGCGGGTGGGGTCTCGTGGACACCCAAATGGTGGAACCAGTATCCATGATGAGGATTCGAATGTGTCTGCGTGGTTTAGAGAAGTCACTTCTCTGCTCCAGAGCACACAGCTCCAGGTCTTAGGCTGGACACTGAAGAGTTGACAGCTTAGGAAGGAGGAGCGGTCTGGGCTCCGGCCTTATGGAATGATCCAGTTTCTCCTCACTCTTGACCTGAACGTTGTTCCTGAACACATTCCGTATGTTACTCACATTTCAGGTCTCAGACCAAACGTTGCTGCCCCTTGAGCCCTCAAGCTCAGGTGTGGTTCCCTCCTCTGAGCCCCCATGGCCCCCTGCTCAGCCCTCCTGATGGTGCATAGCAGTCACCACCTCCAGATCTGCTTCCTTCACTAAAGCAGAGAGCTCCGTGCGAGCAAAGGCCGGTGCCCCGTGCCTACCACGGTCCGCTCGCACGGTGCAGGCTGGATGGTGCATAGAGGAGGGATGAATGGATAAGCACCCACGGGGCTGGACGAAGGACTGGGTAACAGAAGAGAGGTTGGATGGGCGATTAGATAGGTCACCGGAAGGAAGCATGCGTGTTGGGTGGGAGGCCAGATGGGGCCTACGGAGTGGATGATGGGCAGATGAAAGGACGGCTGGGAGGATGGCTGGGTGGAAAGGTGACAGATGCATAGTCAGGTGAGAGGCTGGATGATTGGATGGGTAGATGGTTGGATGAAAGAACAGATGAGAAAAGAGGACAGATCGATGGATAGGAGGATGGAAGGATGATGGCTGGAGGAAGGAGGACTTCATGGAAAGATGGATAGATTTAAGAAGGACAGAGGGGTAAGTAAAGGGAGGGACTTCGGAGCACCTGTTAAGAAGGACAGAGGGGTAAGTAAAGGGAGGGCCCTCGGAGCCCCTGCCCCCCTTCCAGCACCTGTACCCACTCACAGCTAACCTCCTGTGTCCCCACCTCCAGGCCATCGGCTGGAGCCTCACCCTGCTGCTGATCATAGCAGCCTTCCTGGCCCGCTGCCTGAGACCCTGCTTTGACCAGACAGTCTTCCTGCAGCGCAGATACTGGAGCAACTACGTAGACCTGGAGCAGAAGCTGTTCGACGAGACGTGCTGCGAGCATGCGCGCGACTTCGCCCACCGCTGCGTGCTGCACTTCTTCGCCAGCATGCAGAGCGAGCTGCGGGCGCGGGGGCTGCGCAGGGACACTACGGGCAAGAACCCGGAGCCCCCGGGGACACCTGAGCCCCCAGGGGACCTGGAGGGTGGAAGTGGGAAGGCCTACCTGCGCGCAATCTCCAGCCAGGAGCAGGTGGACCGTCTCCTAAGCATCTGGTACTCCAGCAAACCGCCTCTCGACCTTGCTGCATCCCCTAGGCCCTGGGAAGGTGGCCTTAGCCACCGCACTTCTACAGTGGCCCCGAGCACCAGGCCGTCCCAGCACACCGATGTTTAGGGACCCCAGCTGGCTTGAATAGTAGCTGTGCTCCCACGTGAATGCCCGTGGACGAGGGTCCCAGGGCTTTTCAGACAGAGGGCACCCTGAGACAGGGCAGTCTAACCTTGTCGGACTCCTTCCCTAGTCCAGTCTTGGCCTGCTTCCTGGTAGGGCCTCCTATGTGCTTCCCAAACCTCCACGTGGGCTCGGTTCACCTGGGCTCTGTTAAACGCAGATTCCCGCTCAGTGCATTCAGGGCTGAGCCTGAGAGTCTGTGTTTCTAACAAGCTCCAAGTGGTACTGATGCTTCTGGGCCGCGGGCCAGACTTTGGGTTGTTATAGGTTCTGGACGTCCAGATTCTAAATAATCGTAATAATAGCAGCACATGCTCATATGGCGCTTGTTACAGTTCTTCACTTAAATTAGCTCATTTCGTTCTCCTGAAACCCTGATGCTGTAGATAAGATTGTTTGCACCATTTCTTCTTCTTCTTCTTTTTTTTTTTCTTTTTTGCCTATAGGACACATGCACTCACCAAAGGGACACACATACACAGAGACAGAGAGAGGGAAAGTGAGAAATCACCCCCAGAGGATATGGGCATGCTGCGATTCTTTCTCCTCCATTTTCTTGGGATTTGGGGCATGCACACACATACACCCAGCGTGGTTTTCGAGCCTCCAGGTCCAGGACTTGAACCATGCAGTTGGCCATGTGGGATCCAGCACATTAAACTCCATGCAACCTGCTAGTCCTAATTGTCCCATTTCTAAGAAGAGAAAACTGGACAGAAGAGGTTTAGTTGACCACGATCCCCTGTGTGAGAGTTGAAATTAGATCCCAGGAGGCCTGGCTCTGAGTCTTCAGTAGACCACGGTATTAGTCCTGTTTGTGTATTAGTCGATTCTGTTTGTGTATTTGTTTCCAACGCTCTTGTTGGGTTTCCTGCAGTTTTACAAAGTTCTCACCATACGTTCTAGTAAGCTCTGCCTGTTGAGTAGCTCTTGAAAGCACTAGTTAGTGCCTCTTGCTGACTAAGACAGACAAACAGATGTATATTTTCCTGTTGAGTGGATCTTTTTGTGTTTGAATGTCAAAGGGGCTGCCCTTCCTCCCGTGGCTTGCCCTTCCCTAAGTCCCACCCATTCTGTTTCTAGCTGACCAAGGCTGAGCAGCCCGCCTGATCCAGCCTCAGTCAAGCCTCCTTTCTCGGTCCAGCTGGCAGGTGCTGTCCTCTAACCTCATCACCATCCCCACCTCCTCAGTCTACTCTTGAGTTCATAATCCCTAAGACTTCCCCCTTCCCAAGGTACCTGCCTGCTTCCTTTAGCAAGAGGTTGGCACCCGGGAGAGGATTTCTGCAGGCCTGTCTGGGTGTGGGGTCTTGCTCAGGGACAGAGCCCTCAAACACCAGTGTTCCATTGGCTGGAAAAAAAACTGCCACTCGATCTCTGACAGCGCAAACAGGAAGGGCTTGGGGAAGATCTGACCTTTGAGTGCATCTGGGCCTCTGCCCCTCCCTGATGACTCACACACACACACACACACACACACACACGTTGCCTCCAATCAGCACAGATGGTGGCCACAAATGTGCAGACCTGGCTTCACCCCATGCTTTCCTACTTCCTTAGGGCCTCGGGACAGGGTAGAGCAGGCCTGGATGGCCCTGGAGCCCAGCCCCCTCTATCAGCCCATCTCTGCTCTCCTGAGCTCTGCCAAGGGACCCTGTGAGACCGGAAACTTCCTGTAGCTCATCCTTCTCCCACCGGCTGCCTGTGGTTGGGCCATGCAAATGGCTAAAACATGTAGGGTGAGTCACCATTTAGGCAAAGTATTAGCAGTGATTGGGCTGGGAGAGGGAAGAGAGGCCCAGCAGATGGCCCCATCTTCAGGGGCCAGCTCCTAGTCTGGGGAAGGGAAGCTCAGGGACCATTCTTTTGGCCGAGGGAAGCAGCAAAAAAGTCACTCACTGCCGTCAACACTTTCCTTACCGAGCACCTTCTGCAGAAAATGGGCTATGCCTGGGCTAGGGAAGAGAGAGGACTCTCTCTCCTGTGAGAGACACAGTGGTACAGAAACCGTAATCCAAAGCAAAGAGTGTAGTGACAGCCTAGAGGCAGGCTATGTACCACAGAGACATGGGACAAGAAAGCTCCAAGCGGGAGGGTCAGGGCAGGCTTCACAGTGGAGGTGCCATTGAATAGGTCTTAAAGGTGGGGAGGAGGACCAGCAGTTGGCGTAATGGCTATGTCGCTGGACTCCCATGTATTTGACCACGGTTTGAGTTCCAGACCCAGTGGCTTAAACTCACACCGGGCGCGTGTGCGTGCGTGCCCAAGATCCCGAGAGGGGAATGGAGGAGAAGGGATTGCGGCATGACCATCCCCCCTGGGGGTGGTTACTCGCTTTTTATCTCTCTGTTTCTTTCTGTCTTTCTGGCAAGCACATGCGCCCTATAGCAAAAACCTCTCCAAAAACAAACAAACAGGTGGGGAGGGTTTGTGTTTGGTTGGTTTTTAGAATCATTTATTTAATTTTATTTTGTATTATTATTATTATCTAATTTGCTACAGGGCACTAACACTCACCAGAGAGAGAGGGAAAGTGGGAAACAAGCTGCCATGTCCAGGGCTCAAACTATGTTCGGCCATGTGGGAGTCCAGCACCTTAACACCATGCCACCTCCTGGCCCCAGGCGGGGAGGGTTTTGACATGTGGCAAAGGAGATGGGAGTCGGGGGCACAGAGCTCTTCCAGGAAGGAAACAGTGAGAGCGATGGTGCTGAGCTGGGCGAGTGGCAGAGAACGCTTCATCGGCCCCTTCGGCAGCTACTTACTGAAGGCCTCGAGTGCCCAGAGAGCAGGGCCCACAACTCCTGTCAAACGGAGCTCTGAGTCTGGAAGGGGAGAGCAGGAGGTGAGGAGGTAAACAGCCAGGCAGAGTTACAGACCAGAGGGCTGAGGGTCCCGCCAGGTGAGGCCCTGAGTCCTGCACCGGATCTCCTGCCCTGACAGCCTCCAAGTGCACCTGCCACCCCTTGACTCCCCAGATGATATGGGTTCAAACTACAGAGCCTTTTGGCCATGGTCGTCTGTGCTGCCATTTGTTCGTACCCCTGTCCGATGCCTGGAGCAGGCGCAAAGGACTTGGGAGGAGGCTCCCGCCTGCCTCCTAAAGGCCCTCCCTGCCCAGAAACAGCCTTTGTGGGCCCAAGCTCATTACTCAAGTGTCAGCCAGGTCTGGGCTGCAGCCCTCCTGACCCGTCCTATATGTGGGACCCGGCGCGAGGGCTTTGGCTGTGCAAGCCTCCTGCTTGCGTGGCCTGGGCAGCTGTGTCTCCAACTCTACCAGGTCTGCACGAGGAGGGAAAGGTGGTGGGAGCCGGGAGGGGTGAGATCGGGACTTGGACTTTACCCTGCAGGCAGCTGGGGTGAGAGAAGGGCTTGGAGGCAAGGCCAGGAGGAAGGGTGGCATCTGGGGTCCACCCACGTGGCAGGGGTGTCTGCACCTGTGGGAACAGATGGGGCCATCGAGAGAGGGCCTGAATGAGAAGAGGAAGCAGCAAAGGGGAGGGAAGAAGATTCACAGAGGCGAGTCCCACAAAGCAGGCAGGAGAGGAGGGAGAGAACTCCAAGATGGAGGAAGGAGGAGCAACGAATCCAGTGTTTTGTTTTTTAAAGAAATACTTTACTTAACTTTACTTATGCATTTATTTAAATTTGACCAGAGATGGACAGAGAGAGAAAGCGAGAAAGCAAGCCGCCAGGTCCAGGACTTGAATTGCGGTCAGCCATGTGGGAGTGCAGAGCCCTAACCAGCGCACCACCTACCAGCCCCACAAATGCAGTGTTTTCGAGAGACCCATGATGAGGAAGACTGAAGGGAAATCATGGCTTAGTGGCAACTTCCCAGGGCAGGGGACTGCTCACCCAGGGAGGTGGTCCACACCAAGCAGGTTTGCGGATCTCTGTGGGGATCTGTGGGGTTCAAAGCCTGCCCCAACTTACAACACTCATGTGGGAGAGACCGTCAACATCTCTGTGCAGGGAAGAATCCTGGCCCCGGGCTGCGACTGTGTCTACACTAACGAGCTTCCACTTGTGATGGACTCATGGAAAGTGAGGGCCTTCTCTGCAGAGCGCCCAGGTCCACCCACCCTTTGAGGCCAGGTGAGAAGACCTTTCCTTGCCTGGGCTTGATGGGCTCTGACAGGGGACCCTGAGGGCTGTGGGATGAGGAGCACCCCTGAAAGTCTAGAGAAGCCAGTGGAAGATGGCCTGGGGTGGCGAGTGGTGGCAAAGCAGAGGTGACATTGGGTTTCCATGGCCGTGAGCTGTGACTACCCACCAGGCTTTAGCCCTCCCACTCTTCTCATAGAACTTCAGCCTGGTGGGAAGCCCAGAACCAACATGGCAAATACTGTCTCCTGTCTGTCTGAATTCTTCCTCCCTACAAGTTTATCTTGGCCCGAGACTGACTTTCCCTCTTATTCATTTATTCCGCGTCATCACGCAGCACTTACTAACTAAACATCCGTCGTGTTCCAAGCACGCCGTTCTGGCCGGGGATACAGTGATGGGCTATCCGACGTGGGCCTGTAGCCGTTACGGTCCAGTGGGAGCCGCAGATAGTAAATAAGCTCCTCCCTCAAGTAGCTAAGATCGTGATCGGCTCAGTGCAGGGGACGGGCACGCAGGGATGTCGGCCGGAGCAGCTGAGCTGAGGGCTGGGGAAGGCCTCTGTAGAGAAGGAGCCAGAAACAGAGAGCTCAAGGTGGGCAGGCCTTCCTCAGGGGAAGAGGACGACCATTGGAGACTGTGCAAAGGCCCTGACACGGGGAGGGACTTGTCCTGTTGGAGGAACTGAGAGCGGCTAGGGAGCTGGAGGGTGACTCTGGGAGGGGCGTGGCCCAGTGCCAGCTCTCACGGGGTCAAGTGGGCCCTGGTAAGGATGCGGGAAGTTGGCCACTGAGGGGGACCCAGTAAGCAACAGCTCAGCCTGGTGATTGCTCGCG